CACCCTTCGTTGTGCTTGTTCCCAACGGAAACGCCATTGTAGTCCTTCGTCGAAGGGCACCATCTGAAGCTCGTTTGCTTGCCTGTTGAACCCATCTATAATAGCTTCTAACTCAGCTATCGTCTTGCCATCTTTCTCATGCTGTTTCTCTAAGTCAGCTACCCGAATTCTCAAGCGTTGGTTCTGATATTGACTATCTGCCAAGCGTCTTTGGGCAGTCTTTGTTTGTTCTTTCCAAGCTCTCATCAGGCCCCTCGAACTTCCTTTTCAGGCTATGAGCTTCGTCTTTCCAGTATTCAGAGGTTACCTTCAACTTGGAGTTATCCTTGACCTTATCTTGATACCCCTTTCTCAAGTCTTCGAGCTCAAAACGGACTCTTTTTTGTTCTTTTTCCAGTTTTTCTGCCCGATCTTTCTGAGAGTCAGCATCAAGCTTCCACTGATAACGTTCAGCTTCAAGTTCCTTTATCCTTTGCTTCAGCTCATTATTCACGGCTTCAAACTCGGTCTTGGCTATCTCGAGTTCAGAAGGGACGTGCCTGAGATGTTCCTCCATGGTCCGGGTGTCATCACAGTCTGGCACAGGGATATTGTCATTCTTTCTCAATCTTCGCCACTCCACATAATCCGGAGTGAGCATACTTCTGGCAGCTACAACATCCATCCGGAATACTTTCCTCCACGAATCGGCTACTTCTTTGATCATCTTCTTATAGCTGTCGCCGTGATACTCAAACTCTGACCTAGCTAACCCGCATGTTGCTGGGACAAACTGACGTGCTCCATATTGTCTAAGTGCTAATAGCGGAGCATACCCGACTGCTCCCCAAAGTCCAAGTAAGGTCACAGTGTCGGAGTCACCACATCGAAAAAGAACATCACTGAGGAATAACCAAGGGGCTCTCAAACAATATCTCGGTCTTGAAGATGCGTAAAGACTTCATCCATTTTTCTTTCGAGGCGCCTTCATGCCATTTTAAGGTAATAAATTCACCTAGAGGTGAATAGGTGGTGCTGAAACGGCGGTAGGCAACCCCGTCAGTCTTCCAGAAGTGGCTGTGAATCCAGACTTGAAGGAGCTGAATGCACCCGGTGAATCTTCCTCCGCCAGTTCTTCGGCAATGATTGAGAGATCGAAAGGTCTCAGCCAAGATGGCTGGTGCTGGATTGACTCTTCTCGAGAGTTGTTCGAATAGCTCCACTACGGTGGCATCGATGTATCCCAAGGTCTTTGGGAATAAAATTAGACCATACAGACCTAATGCAAACAGGTCTATTGTCTTCCACTCGTCAGGGTGGTGCTTCATTAGTTGTTTGATATGAAGCCAAGCGATTCCTTCTCCACTACCCTTACATCGAGCTCGGTCAGTTACCCATTTTTCATCAACTCCGGCAACCTTAGCTAGTGCATTTTTGAAAGGTTGACTTTTAATGTGCTTAAGGTAGGCACGCTCGAGTTTGATGTTTTCACAATGCAGCAGTGTAGTGTATTCTTCTATGGTAGGCACCATGTCTTCCGGTTAAAGGTGAAGCAACTGTATCCCGGGTTCCAGAATTGAACCAAGGCTCTAATTAAGGGCTCATCAATCTTAACATGAAGCAGAAGTGCAACATCACCGTATCGTTGGCTGAACTTCTGTTTCACCTCATTCTTCCAACTGTCCCAGATGTCCCGGAGCTCTTGTATGTCATTATGCTTTAGGCTGATCGAGGCGTAGCTAACCAGCTCTGACACATAGCTGTCTTGAAGACTGTCTCCCTTTTCCTTCTGAGTCTTCTCGGACCATAGTCGTACCTCAGGGTTTTTAATCTCTTGTATTACAACACCTTTATCCATTAATTCAGATTATTTTGTGCGTAATGAACGTCTTTTTAGGGATCAATGGCCTCTTGTTATGATGCAAATGCTAAAAACAAACACAAAGGCAAATGGTTAGTAAAATAAAAATAAATGGAAATAAATAAAAATAACAAGAAATAAATGGCAATAAAACATAAGAAAAAACAAATGGTTAGGAAAAAATTGTCCTAGGTTTTGGAATGTGGTTTTGGGGTAGGCTCTATTTCTTCGAAGTCTCCTGGTTTAGGTTCTAAAAACGGTACCCGAGTTCTCCTTGCTGGTGCCCCCTTGGGCTTACCAGACCCTTAGTCCTAAACCCATCACAGGCTTGTGTGGACTAAGTTAAACTCGAGGGGACACATTCCCTTATGTCTATGCGGAGAATAAATTCACACGAAGACATAAGGTATATGAATCCCGAAGGCTACTTGCTAGGCATATGCGGTGAATAAATTCACACGAATGCGTCGCTTTCACCCCACTTAAAGGGTTCGGAGCTCGGGTATAGAGCCTTTGGATGAAAAAGTTTGGAAGACTGAAATCATTAGAAAACGGTCAGTCCAACTATTTACTCGAAAAAAAATATAACCAAAAGTAAGTAATAAGGATCGAAATGTTACCTTAACGTTCAAACTTACCCTTTTCATTAGAAAGACAACTGGAAATTACCTTAGCCTGACTCACTTACCTGTCCCCAGCGGAGTCGCCAAGCTGTCGTAACCGTCCTTCGATTGGTCCCCGAACTTGGGCTTCGACTTAGGAAAAAGTGGATTGGAGTCGCCACCGATCATTCATTTAAAAATAAATGGGTTGACCGGGTACCTTATTTCTTACCTGATCTGCGTCTTACCAAAGATGTGTCGGATTCGGGAGTCGGTTACAGTCAAGGAAGGGTTAGCACCCTTGAACTGCCCTTTCGGTACTGTGTAATTTCCAGTTGTCTTTAATTAAGAAAATCGTAATTTTAAATTGGAAGGTAAAATATCGATCCGATTACTTACAATTGATTGACTTGAAAGTGAACCTTTTAGGAGCCGAAACGTATATTAGAAAAGGTGATGAAAATGAATTAAAATTGAAAGATAAAGAAAACGAAACAAAGAACAAAAATAACAATAGATGATACACCAAAAGTAACATAATCGTCATGGAGATATAGAACATGAAGGAAATAAAAATGAAGACAAGTATGACAACATGTGATAAGATAAAAAAATGAAAGAATAAAGAAATAAGAAAATAAGACCCAATAAAACGGAAAAAAAAAAAATAAATAAATAAAACATAATAAAGGTGAAATAAAATAATATACAAATGTAAAGTGATAAGAATTAAATAAAATGTACATATGTATATAAAAAATGTAAATAATAGCGTATAAGGTAAAATTAATAAAAAACATATAATAATATTAATTCCATATATATATAATAGCTAAATATGAGAGAGAGGGAAAAATATATAATAATAATAGAAAAATTAGATAATAATTACAGTAATACAAAAGTAAGGAAATAATAAGATAGAATACAAAACATATATATATAATAACGTTTAAACAAGATATTAGTATAAAAAAAAAGATACAAAATGAAATGAAAATAAACGAAAAGAAGTACGAACGATAATATATCTACGTGTATATATAAGAAATAATGAAAAATGGTATAATATAACATAAATAAATAAAACACCAAAAAGATAAATATATTTTAGTATATATATATATAATAAGGATTGAGATGAAACGAAAAGCAAATCAAGTGGCCAATTTGAAAGTAAATCGGAATTTAAAATCGGATTTGGGACCAAAATGACGAGCCTTTAAGGAAGGAGGGACCGAAAGAGTAGTTTACCCTAATTTAGACAGAAACACGCGGATGTTTAAGCATAAAAATCAAAATTTTTTAGCAAAATACACATTTCTCTCTTCTCCAAACCGAGTCCTTCCCCCTTTCTCTTTTTTCTCTGCTTGGTTCATGTGTTCTTGATGAACACATGAACGCCGCCGTAGTTCCCAGACTCCGGCCACCGTATGCCGCCTCGTCGGCCACCGCGAACGGCGCTGGCCGCGGTCCTCGGCGGCGAAAATGAAAAAGCTTTTGTTTTTTTGAAAGGTCTTCTTGCGTAGGTTACAAAAATCCAACTAGTTTTTTTAAACGGGCCTCGGGGTCGTGTAGATCTAGCAAAATAGCTTCGAAAGCAACCCCCTTTGGTCCTCGGCCAAAACGTTTTTTGTTGTTTAGAATCAAACCAGAGTGAAGGAAATACATACATACAAAGTAAACAAGAAAGGTACGAAACTTTTACCCTTTATTTTGATACGAAACGTTTACAAAATATCGATCTCTGAAGTTACTTTGCTTGTATTTCACTAATGAACCCTCGTAATGTTTGTATGTGCGGGCTGTTGTGATGATCTCGTATGTTCGTCTAGTTAAAAAAAAAAACCTCCTCCTGAGTGTTCTAGTTACCTCTATTTATAGTGAAAAAATCAGCCTATTTAGTGTTCTAATTCGAGTAAAATACTAATGTGGGTTGTTGATGATGGTTGTGATTCTTGCGCCGGAGGACTCGGACTGTTGGGGACGTGAGGGAGGCGTGCGAGAGAAGGACTGCTGCGCTGGTGGAGAGAGGCGGCTGAAACCCTAATTTGCCATAGGGTTTCTTCACGTGGGACTTGGGTTTAGTCCACTGTTGGGCCCTGAAAAGAAACATGTAAATAAATATATAATATAATTTATAATATAAATATATATTATATAACATAAGGACGAAATTTAGTGTATTCAATGATTGCCTGCAAAATGCAACATGACTAACTACGTGTACTATAGATTCTAAGCCATTAGACATTAGCATTGCACCTCTACAACAGGAAAAAGAACTTTGAATAAGATATATCTTACTGCTATCATATCCAAAGAGTACATGACATAGCATTTCGGTAAATTGTGCAAAACTATGAAAATTCCAAGACCAAAAATATTAAAAACAATTCGAAGGATAATGATGGAATCATGGAAAAGAAATGTATGGCCAGAAAAAGGAAGCAACGGTAATGATTTGGGAAGGACAGAGCTGCAGTTATGATCAATGTTAATCATAGAACCATCTGCATGAACAATAATTAAAAATTTAAAGGTGCAGAGAAAAATGCAGACCTTTTTGCTCTCCGGTAAGAATGAATTCATCAAGTATCAGATAGACCTTTAAGAATTTCCAGGGAAAGGGTAAATCATATTGCAGAATTATGACAGTCAAGATTAATGCACACGGTGACACTGATGCGTATCAAAGCAGGAAAGGAGGCAGAACTAGCTTTCACAAGCACAAGATAAAGACTGCAAAAAAGCAATTTGAAAAGGCGGTTCAACATTTGTTAAGGCCTGAGAGCGCAAACCTTCATCAACAACTGGAAAGCTTTTGAAAATGGCATCTTCATAAAAATCACAAAGTAAATTTCAATACAGCAAGTTATGTTGATGCAAAAGTTAACAATAACAATCAGAGTAGTTGCATGCATTGTGAAAATTAAAAACCAAGTCGAGCTTGCAAACATTACTGAAGAAACGATCCAATATCTCCACAAATAAATGGATGCTTTCCGAGTATGCCAACTCATTATCCGTTATGTCAACACACAAGGAGAAGAACAATCCAGCATATGGCCTGTAGATTACCGAAACTGCATCAGAAGATTATGCATAGAATCAATAAAAATTCAGCAATTCAATCAATGCTTAAAGTCTAGATCTCTACCCCTGCTATCATATTTCTTCAATTAAACAAAAACTTTCCTTACACCTGGAAATTGAAAATAGGAGGGAAAACATACTTTATAAAAGGATTGAAAAGGAGAAGTAGGAAAGTCACGTGCCCCAACGAAATTGGTAAACTTTGGATCTCTGTTAACAACCAATCGGTGAACCTGTAAATGTATAATCAAGATATGAAAGAACCCAAACTAAGAAATCGTCCAAAACTCAAACTATAAACAAAAGGTCTAGATTTTTTAATAATAATCAATATAAAGGGAGAATGTAATACCTCATATTCGACCTTGTGCTTCTCTGAATCATCGAGAGGAGCATAGTATTTGGCTGGACGAGTCTTGCCTTGCCTGTTTTGCAACAAAACGAATTGGATCTGCCATGATCAAGAACACAACAAAAAGATCAACTAAGATTTCAGATTTTCTATCCCAATAAAAAAAATGCCATCTTCGAGAAAGAGGAAGAGTAAAGAATAAGGTTGTACCATTGTTGGAGCTAATAGGCAAAAATGTTTTTTATTGTTTGTTTGGCACTTGGCAGATGGTCAAAGACGACGGATTTGGAAAGTTTACAAGATGGCGAGTTGACACTAGTACCGTCTACTACCGCATACGGACAGAATCGTATGATACCTCGGAGTTTCTTATCCGTTTATATGGATTACTTAACTAACTCAAGGCCATCTTATCCGTACTAGATTTTATCATACTGTAAAATATTTATTCTAATAAATTAAGAGAATTATCTTTGAATGTATTCAACTTAATGTTTTATTCTCAAATTTCTCTTTTAACCGTGACTCGTTTTTTGTAACTTTTATTTATCAATTTCCTTTTCTTCAATCACACACACTTCTTATATTTACCAAAAAAATAAAAAAACTTTTGGTGTACATTTAATGAAAGAGAAAGGGTATGCGAATTTGGAGTCCCTATTGAAGCAAAAGTAAGTTGTATTATAATTGTCCAACACCTAACTAGAAGCGGATCTAGAAATTTGAAAATGAAGTCCAAAAATTTTAATTCTAATTTTTCCAATAAGATGAGTATGCAAATTTTTTAATTCTTTTTCTTCTCTCAATATATTGAACTATATTTGATCACTTATCTAAAATAATTGGTATGCACTTGATCCCCTAGAGGACCAAGTGCATCCCCATGCACCCAACCTCTCTTTTAGACCAAACATGAAATGAAATTCTCGTAACACATGGATTATTTAATGCTCGAAATTATAAAACCACTCATTTCTATTTTTGTACGAACCATACGATTTTCGTGATTAAAAGAATTATTATTATATATAAAGGTCCTAGTTTTAAGCACGACGTCTATAAAATATTTGATTGTTCATTATTAAATTATTAAAAAGCTTTTAAATAAATGCTACATTATAATTACCTTATACTTTTTAAAAAAGTAATTTCCACTCTTGAAAATTTGAGTAAATCAAAGGATGAGAGAGAAGGGACCCAAAAACTCCCAAGTGCGAGATACTGGGCCCTTTGATGTTTAAAAGCGCCTCTTTTCATTCCCATCAACGCGGCACTAGCTTCACTCTTCAGATTTCAGTGTCAAATATATAATAGAATTCCAGTGAAGTGAACGCCAAGTAACGAAGCTCCCTTCCCACCCTATATCCCTTTGCTCCATTTCAACATTTAGCCACTTGAAACTCGAAACCAACCTCCCTAAATACATAACAGGCTTCTTTTGACAACTTTCATATGATAGAAGGTGAAGGTGGTGTTCTGATGGTCATGCGGGCGGAGATCGATACCAGGGCGCCATTCAGTTCGGTGAAAGAGGCGGTCTCCTTGTTGGGGGAGAAAATTTTAGCCGGTGAACTTTATGCCAACACACTCAAGGAGGTAATTAAGTCGACTTGTTTCTTTTCTCCTTTTCGTCATGGTAGATAGACATGCATGTGTATTTTTTCCATCACTCTAGATGTTCATTTACCGTAAAAATATAACATGTCATGTCATGCATAGCGGTTTCATCAATGATCCATATGGTAAAATCAAATATATGTTGTCCATCAAGAAAGGTGATGAAGATATATCTCCATCCCCCTTCTAGAATGTCTGAGATTATTTTCAAAACTTTAGAAAGGGAGGATTATCCATAAAGAGAGCAAGCATACATTCTGTCACTGTCCACAGTTTCCTTGTAAACTAATCAACTGGAATATTGTAAACTTTATATGATATTTTTGGTAATGTTATAATCTAAATTAACCAGTTTTACCAAGTTAATTTTTGACAGATGTATGGTGAAGCAAGTGGAAATGGTTCATCCAGGCTGGGAACCGTGAATACTGAGCTGAAAGAGACAAAACATAACCTTGAAAAAGCCAGAGAGGAGAGTATGACAATGGCCAATTGTCTGTCTTCTCTTAAAGAGGAGCTAGAAAGAACCAAGAGAGAATTGCAGAAAATGAAGGAACGAGAAACCCATAAACGAATGGAGGAGTTTGATATGGAGCTTGTCCCAGACCACGTGAAGAAAACACAACCATGCAATGAACAAGGAACAGAGTTCCAAAAGAAGAGATACGTGACATTTGCAAATCCACCTTCTTTGGCTCAACTTATTATTCCACCAGGTGTGGAGAAACTCGAGAGGCACCCTTCACTAAGAAAGAAGAAGAAGAAGAAGCCATTGATTCCCCTGATTGGAGGGTTATTCTCTAGGAAAAAAGGAAACCCAGAAATTGCATCACCATAAAGTCCCTGAATCACTCCATAGTTCCAACAATAATTATCAACTGGACCTTTTTTTTTCTTTTCTGAAGCTTCATAATTTCCTTCTTCATACACTTGTAAGTTCTAGCAGGGTAAGTCATAAGCAGAATGTGATTGTTTTTGTTATGTTTGACTTGAAATCAAATTTGGCAAGTTGGAAAATTCATCTTGGTTGGTGGCCAACTTATTGGAAAATTCATATTGGTTGGTGGCCAACTTATTGGAAAATTAATATTTGGTAGGTGGCCAACTTTGCACATGAGAATTTCATCTTTGGTCCATAAAATATTAGGTTATTTATAAGTTTATTCCTTAAAACTCAAGTATAAATAGGCCTAAGTATTTTATTATAAATCATCCCAAAAACAAGTTCTCTCTTCCATTTATTTTCTTCATTCTCTCGCTTTGGGAATTCTAAAGAATTCCATTTGTTGTAATATTTTGTTGATAGTGAAGTTATCATCTGGTGTGGTGCCCGAGGAGTAGACGATATTCTCGTCGAACCTCGTAAATTTGGTGTGTTCTCTCCTTTATTGTTCTTTATTCAGTTTTTTCATTGTGTTTCAATATTCAATAGTTTGACGGGTTTATCCACTGTGCAACCTTTGGTGGTTTTGATCTTGACATTTTAGGTCAATTTTGAAACTATGTTTGTGTGGGAAATAACCTGGTTTTGGTGTCTAAACACCAAAGGCGGAATCCCTTCACTCCATGGGTGATTCCCATAAAGAGAGCCTTCTTTGCTCTCGGATCAAGCTTGGATTTCTTCACATGATAATAAACAGTGGATCCAAATACATGTAAGGAATCATAATCAGTAGCAAGTTTTCCAGACCATACCTCCAATGGTGTTTTTCTTCCTATCGCTGATGATGGCAGACGATTGATAAGATGGCCAGCATATGTCACAACCTCAGCCCAAAATGCCTTACTTAACCCATCATTAGACAACATACATCGAACTTTCTTCAATAGTGTTCGATTCATACGCTCTTCCACCCCCATTCTATTGTGGTGTATTTCTAACAGTGAAGTGTCAAACAATATCATACTCATGGCAACCTTCAAAGAATGGGTCACTTTTATATTCCCCTCCATTGTCCGTCCTAAGACATTTGATCTTTATACCAGTCTGGTTCTCGATCATATTTTTCCATTTAAGGAAAATTCGAAGCACTTCATCTTTAGACTTCATCGGATACACCCAAACTCTTCTGGAAAAGTCATCTACAAAAGTTAGAAAATAATGGTTTCCTCCCAAAGACAGTGTCTTTGAAGTACCCCATACATCTGAGTGAATATAATCCACAATACCTTTTGTATTATGTATAGTGGTGCCAAACTTCACTCTCTTTTGCTTTCCTAGAACACAATGCTCGCAAAAGTTCAATTTGCAAGCCTTTGCACCTTTCAACAATCCTTTCTTTGCCAAAATTTGCAAGGATTTCTCTCCAGCATGTCCCAACCGCATATGCCACAACTGGGTTGTGTCCAAATCATCGCCTTCAGAAGCTGCTGCAACTGCTCCAATAATTGTACTACCTTGGTAGTAACACAAATTATTTTTCTTGATGCCCTTCATCATCACAAGTGCGCCAGATGTGAATTTTAAAACTCCATCTCTCATAGTGACTATTGAGCCTTTGGATTCACTGCTTATTATCATGTGAAGGAATCCAAGCTTGATCCGAGAGCAAAGAAGGCTCTCTTTATGGGAATCACCCATGGAGTGAAGGGATTCCACCTTTGGTGTTTAGACACCAAGAAGATAATTTGTACCAGAGATGTTACCTTCGATGAATCTGCCCTAGTAAAGAAGGTAACAAATGAAGCTGTCCAGACAAGTAATACTCCGCAGCAGGTAGAGCATACTCCAAAACAGGTGGAGTTTCATTAGACGATGATTCCATAAGTTGATGCAGTTGATTCTTCAACTCCAATGGAAGAATCAGAAGATGAAGAGGTTCAAACCCAAGAACTATTGGAGACACCAGAACCACTTGTAGTTACAAGGCCAATGAGAGAAATTCGTAGACCTGCTCGATTTGTTAATATGGTGGCCTATGCTCTTCCAGTTGTTGATGATGATTTCCTATCACTTACCAAGAAGCAATACAAAGCTTGGAAAGTGATAAGTGGAAAAATGCCATGGATGAATAAATGAAATCTCTTCAAAAGAACAACACTTGGAAACTGGCACAATTATCGAAAGATAAAAGAGAAATTGGATGTAAGTGGGTATTTGCAAAGAAAGATGGATCTCATAGCAAGAAAGATGTTCGCTACAAGGCAAGGCTGGTAGCTGAAGGCTACGCTCAAAAGGAGGGAATCGACTACAATGAAGATTTTCCCCCATTGTGAAGCATTCCTCCATTAGAATATTGTTAGCCTTGGTAGCTGTCGTAACCGGTTTTCGTCCGGGCACGAAATTTTTACTTGGAGGGAAAAATAATGTGGATAAAAATGATTTTGATTTAAAATACATGTTTGGGAGTCGCCATTGACCTTTTGGGGTTAGGTAGGTCAAATACCTAAAAAAATAATCTTTTAAAATAGTTTTGAATAAAACATAATTTAAAAGATAAAATTGATCTGCGTATAACAAAAAAAATTAGTAAAATAGGATTCGTGGTCGATTACGTTTAGGGAAGGATTAACACCCCTATAACGCCCAAAATTTGGTACTCATTAATTATAAATTATCTCTTTTATTAGAATTTTAATTATTCAAAAATATATTTAATCTATAATTCTGTTATTTCAAATTTATAATTTTATGAAAATATATTAATTTAAATATAAATAAGATATTTATTTATTTAGAAATATCAGAAAATGGCTTCTAGGTGCTTTAAGACAACTCTTTTCTTAATATTAAAAAATAAATAAATATTAAAACAATTATTTAAAATAGATATAGTTTTATAAAAGTAATATATATTTTTTAAAATATCAGAAAATAGATATCCAATTGCTTTAAGACTACCCCTTTCTTAATATTTAAAAACATAATTGAAATAATTTATAAATAATTTATAAAATTTATAAATAGGATTATAAATAAATATTACTTATTATATATATATATATATATATATGAATAACTAATAATAATATTCAAATATTAAGAAAATATAAAAATAAATAATAACTAAAATCAATATATATATATATATAAATAATAATAATACTCATAATTAAATAAAGGTATTAAATGGATAAATTATAACATTCTTAAAATTAGATTCCTAATTTACCAATTATTTAATATTCTAGTGACTAAGCATGCAATTTTACTTGTATTATTAATTTAGTGATTAAAATAAAATTGTGTAAAATTCGAACATCAAATTAAAATAAATTAAAACATGTTGTTCGGGATTAAAATATTAATTTATAAAATTAAAGGACTAAATATGTTATTTATCTAAAATATATATAATTACGGTTAAGGACTAAAATACATATATGTAAAATTCAAAAACTGAATTAAAAGAATCTAAAATTTGATTTAGTGACTAAAATATAAAGTTATAAAACTGATGGACTGCGGATGGGGTTTACCCATATGTGAAATTTCAAAGATACCCTCACCAAAACGGCGTCGTTTTGATGAGGGTATTTATACCCATTTAAGTCGGCCCCAAGGGCCAACCTTCTCATTTCTTCATTTCTTCTTTTCTCTCTAACAGAGAGAAAAATATTTTCTCTCTGTCTTCTCTCTAAACCCTCCACCGGAGGGAGGCAAATTCTGGCCTGCAACCGTGTTCCGGCATCGGTCACCACCGTCGGCCACCGTCAACGGTAGCCGGAAATTTCTAAAATTCCCTAGGATATAGATCTATTTATTTTAAGGCCAAATCTGGTATCTATTTCCCCTAAAAATCCCTATAATTTCCTATATCTAAGAAAATACCTTCGGTATTTTTAGTTTTTTGGTGACGTTTGGGGTTCTCTGACGAGGTAAGCTCATCTTCTTCTTCTTTCCTTTTTCTTTTTTGTTTTGTGGATTTGGTGGTTGCTGTGTTGCTCGTTGCCCTCTCATCCTCTCTTTTTTCAGGTTTAATGGTTTTCTTATAACCATCACCGGTGATGGCTTTGGACCGGGTAAAGGGTGGCTATTTGGTGAGTCACCGAGCTATGTGGTGACTCACCCTAATAGCTGCGACGTGGGGGCTGTGTGGTACTCCTGGAAGCTTCTGGAGAAGCTCATGGCAGCGAGATATCGACGTGGGGCGGCTGACCTTTCAGTAGTGGTCAGTTGGAGCATTTGGCAGCAGTGCATTGGACCACCTTGCATCATAGGCGTTGGCGGTGTGGAGGTTCTGGAAGCAGCGGCGGCTGGGATGGGATGATACAAACCCTACTTAATTTAAGGTTTCTATTGGGCTCCGGGTTTGGGTTTGGTTGTAAGTGGGCCTCGGGTATTGGGCCTGTTTGTAAATAAAATTATTTAGTAATAATAATAATAATAATAATAATAATAATAATAATAATCAAATGAAAAAAAATGAGTATCTTCAGTAGCACAGTTGAATTTGGAGCTAGCTCAACTTTATGTAAAGACGGCTTTCTTGCACGGTGATTTAGAAGAGGAGATCTATATGACTCGGCCAAAAGGATACAAAGATAGTGGTTGTGAGAAATAGGTTTGTAAGATGAACAAATCATTATATGGATTGAAGCAATCTCCGAGGCAGTGGTACAAGCGTTTTGATAGCTTTATGAGGAGGAAAAAGTACACTAGAAGCAAATATGATCATTGTGTGTATTTGAAAAAGCTCAAAGATGGATCTTTTATTTATCTTCTCTTGTACGTTGAATCAAGAGTCTGAGATGAAAGATCTAGGTGAGGCCAAGAAATTCTTGGTATGAAGATAAGAAGAGATAGATAAATAGAGAAGCTTTGTTTAACTAAGAAGCAGTATTTGAGAAAGATATTACAATGTTTTGGCATCAATGAAAATACCAAACATGTAAGTATCCCACTATCTTTTCATTTGAAACATAGTTCTCAGTTATCTCCTAAAACTAACGAAGAATGAGAGTATATGGCAAAAGTTTCATATGCTAATGCAGTTAGGAGCTTGATTTATGCAATGGTGTGTACGCGTCCTAACATTTCACAAGCAGTTGGAGTTGTGAGTAGGTACATGCATGATCATG